GTTCTGTTTGGTCCTATGTCCTTTCCCGGCACTTAAACTATCTACATGATGTTACAAAATTACAAATAAAGCTTGAAGGGCGTTGGATATAAGGAGTCTTCTCTATTTTTTTTTAATATTTGCATGAAGTTTTATCTTTTTATAAAAACAGTTATTTTTAATGATTATTAAAAATATCGATCATTTTAAGACACGTCACTAGTTCGAGGATCATTAAAAAAAACCGGCCAAGTGCGAGTCGGACTCGCGCACCGAGGGTTCCGTACAAACCTGCAAGGTTTACAAAGTTCGTTCATTACGACAATCGAGTCATAACTATAGTATTTTTATTGCAAAATGAAATTCATAACATTACAATGGGGAAAGATGGAGGAGCATACATTTAAGACAAAGATCTCTTTATCGTTTAAGTAATCCTTTATTTTATATTAACACATATCATTTATCTATAATATAACTGAAACACTTATACTAGCCTTGCAGCAGACTTGCGAAAGTTCTTTTATTAAAGTTATTTATTTACTAAGTTTTTTAGTCACTATTTAGAAATCTGGTTCAAAAATATTAATTAAGTATTAAATTTGAACCATACCTGTAAATGGTGACTGAAAAAGTTATGAATAGTACCACATTGAACATTGAAGTTCGAAAAAACGTTATCAATAGTTGTACAACTTCGTGTAGTGCTACTGTTTATTAACGGAAACATGTTTATGGATGAAAAATATGTGGAAATTCCATTTTGGGGATTCATTCTAAAATCTATATTGAAGTCTCCCACAACAATCAGACGAGAAGATGAAGTGTACATATTGACGTTGCTGCCGAATATTGTTGTATTTATACATTCTATTGCAACATTAATTTGACATTGTGGTGACCTATATACAGTTATCTCTCATTCACAATTAGTTGCGAGTTTCAAAATATGCGGTATCAATGGTTGTACTTTTGCGTTTTGCGTTTTTGCGTTGACTTAGATTTTTTTTTTTCACGGGTTAAAGGCAATTAGATCTAAGTATTTGATATGAATTTCAACTTGATAGCTCTACGCGTTCATGAGGAAAAAAGTAATAAGTTTATATTTATTAAAAAATATATATTTTGTAATGTAACTAAAAATTTAAGGTTTTCGGAATTTTTCCTTTATATGTGCTATAAAACGTTGCTTCATGCCAAATTTCAAGATTCTAGGTCGACTGGAAGTACCCTTTAGGTTTTGATTCCCTTGCGAGTACTTGCGAGTTTCAAAATATGCAGCTTAAATTGCTGTTTCTTTTGATTGCGTTGATATAGAAGTTTGATTTTGTTACAGCTTAAAGGTATTATAGACTTGAGTATTTGGTATAAATTTCAATTTAATACCTCTACGCGTTTATGAGGAAATGGGTAGTAAGGTTAAAATTATTAAAAAAAAATATATTATGTGATGTAACTAAAAATTTATGGTTTTCGTAATTTTTCCTTTATCTATGCTATAAGACGTTGCTTGGTACCAAATTTCAAGATTCTGAGTTCACGGGAAGCACCCTGTAGGTTTTGATTCCCTTGCAAGTGTCGAAAATTTGCGGCATAAACGGCTGTATCTTTTGATAGCGTTGGCTTAGAAGTTTGATTTTTTCACAGCTTCAAGGGACAGTAGACCTGAGTAATTGGTATAAATTTCAGCTTCATACCTCCACGCGTTCCTGAGAAAAAGGGTCTTGACAGACGGACGGACGGACGGACAGACGGACAACAAAGTGATCCTATAAGGGTTCCGTTTTTCCTTTTGAGGTACGGAACCCTAATAACTGTTTTTATAAAAACTTAAAACTTCATGCAAATATTTTAAAAAATAAGAGAAGACTCCTTATATGATGTACTTCAACGCCCTTCAAGCTTTATTTTTGTAGCACCCTGTGTATATACCGAATTTCATCTGATTCAGTTAATCGGTTTAAGCGCGAAGAGGTAACAGATAGCCAGAAAGAAATTTCTTATATAATATCAGTATGGATTAATTTTAAATGCTTTAAAATTTTATATTTTGCTTCATAGCTAATATTTTTGTATTACATTGCATTGAAATACATAAAAAAAATATATACCCACGTAGTGTGCTACATCTGTCCTAAAATGTACAAGGCACTGCCTCTGTTCTGTTTGACTGCAGTTTTCACCACCTCGTACCATAGGTACCATACTCATTGGGAACTCGCAGTCATACTACCATATTAAGTTAAGATAAACAGACTGAATAGCACGAATTAGCACGAACCGAGATCGAATTCAACTATTTGCATTCGATATTGGTTGGTTGCTGATAAGGGTACTGTTACCTGTTGAGTACGGGAGGTAGGCTGGTTTGGCAATTGAACTTCGGCTAGTTAGGTGGTGCTGTGTACAGAAAATCTCAGCATGGGCCATAGGCCGAATGCGCCAGTGCCAATTGCAGGTGGTTTATTGAAGTGGGCGTGCATTTGTATCCCGTCGTCGAAAAACAAAAGCCAGTCGTTTATGTAATGGGAAAACCTTTAAATTACCTTTCATTGAATTAATTAGACAAGCTGGTTTTCTTTTTTTTATCGCAAGAGCTTAGTGGAAGAGTGCAGTGCAGCAGGCTATTCAAAACTGTCAAATTTCTCGAGGGGTTTCACAAACAAACACACAACAATTTGAGAAATTTAACTACTTATTATAAATATTTCCAATATATATATAAACATATACATAAAATAAAATAATATATATAAATCGATTCTGGTAACTTGATGTATTGTTAACTGTACAAAAACGAGAAAAATATCAAATTCACATTTTCAATGCTTGTATCAACAAATTGAGGTTAAGTTATCTCTTTCGTACAGAACTTCTCCAACAAACATGCTAGGATTCAATCATTGTTTTTTTTTAAAAAAAAAGGTTCAATTTATTATTAAGTACACAACATTTTGAAACTTATTGTAATTTACAAACTATCCAATTAACTCATCATTCATTAAAATTTGAGTTCCCTTAAATGCTTACGAAAACCGTAGTGCAGCAAAAGAAAACACATTCTGTTGAATGGTTAGAGAAACTTAAAGGTTCCAATATCATCGTTTTGGGATATTTTGGGAAGTTTAATAAAAAGTATCATAGACTTTGGCTTTTTTCGTACTGCCGGGTCTTGAATACCTACTCTGCTACTTCTCAACCACAACAGCTGGATTGAAGGTATGTACTGAAAAAATAAACTAGCTGAGCTAAAACGATCATTAATAAAAAAAACCCCGACTCCACCCAAACATTATAACTCTGAAACACCTTGCGTTTCATTAAGAGAACCTAACAAATACGACTCTAAAAACTTCCATCAATCGTCACGGTCCGACACGAATAATCTATCCATAAGCTGAGCAATTAAATTTGTATTACAAATGACTCCTTAAATCCTTCACAGCGTTTTGTCAAACCCACTAGTGTGTCATTAGCCTCGAAAAAAATGGCACAAAACCTCCATGGGACGATAATGACCGACATTTTTTATCGCGGCTGGGAAAAATGTTACGAATTAGCATTTTGGACGTCGCCCTGTTATTAAATCATAACAGGTCTGGTACAACAATTAGTGTTGTTCTCACGGCAATGGACAGGCGACTCGGTAATTACAGCTTTTGATTTGAGGAAGAATTTTTTTTCGGGTCGTTCTCGAGGTCAACTGTGGTCAAATGTGCCGTCTTGGCTGAGCAAATCATTGGACCAATTCAATATCTTATACCTCTATTACCTATCTCACTACATTTAAAAAAATACCCATAATAGAAATGTGGCTTAAATATGTGGATATTTTACGAAGTTGTAGTACTTTATTCAAAACCCAAAATAAGCTTGGATTAGTTATACCTACCATGAATTGTCTCTGTTCATTGAATTACAAATGGCATTTGAGTAATATGACCAAAACATGACGTAACTGAGCTAAGCTTATTCCTCGTTTACTAATAAGGGGGAATATGTAGGGAAATATTTTTCTTTTTTAATAGTCTAATATTTTCAAATTTATATCTACACCCTCTTATTCCTTTGTTTATCATTCAACTTCTCAGTATCCACTAAACACGGGCCTGTATAATAGTAGGTATTCAAATTTCAAGAGAACGGCTAAATAGATACACTTTATGTACATCTTGCTCCATTTTCAAAGAAGTGATACTTTCAGAGAAAACAAAACTTGAAATCGTAGGCGATGTTTGTATTATTTCGAATCTCAACATTTTGTAAAAAAAACATATCATCACATTGCCGGAGTGATGATAAACAAATTCTTTTCTTCATTTATAGTAGGTATTCATTTGATATCGTGATGACATTTTCTTTACTTATAATTTTGTAACTAAAAGAATTAGGATCGTATAAAAAATAAGTCTACAACTTTCTGATTACACAAATTACGATGATTCATTGCGATATTAGTATAATAAGCTCATCTTAGAATCATAAATTTCAATTATAAGTAAGCTTCTGTTTTTAACGTTCATTAGTAAATAAGATTACATTTTTATGACATTCTTAAAATTTATTCATAGCATCGAATTGATTTCAAAATTAAACATCATATTTTCTGTATTATGATGATCGAAATCCATGTCAAATTGTCAAATTAGATTTAACTCAAGATGAAAAATATTTTATGAGATCTAATTAAGATGTTGCTATTTTTATTATGCATATTTATATTGTGATGAGATGTTTATCTCCGAACTGGTACTAGATTTACTATAGAGGTTATGAGTATGAGTTTATTCAAAAATATATTTATAGTGTCATTGTTATCAAGACAAAATGTGTTAGAGCAACCAAGTACGTTGTCTCTGTTATAATTAAAAGCAGTTAGGTGCTTGTTCTTTCCATTCGGATGACTCCCCACAAAGCGTCATAAAGTGGGCATTGTTATTAACAAGCCATAGCCAGGTTATCTTAACAGGCGGCCCACGAACGACCTATCAGGGTGGCAGCAGGTAATAAAAACAATTTTACATTTTTCCTCAATGAGTTTATTGCGCCAGAACAATAAATGAAGCTGATCATTATAACGTTTACTTTCAACATCGATTATGAATAGTCTACACGATACCATATCGTACATCGAGCCCATTAATATTTATAATATCCAAGTCCGTTATTGCACTTTGCGTCACAAACGCGAACGCGTCACCAGACCGTTTCATCCCTAACAACTTACAGTTCGTGGGATCGATAATTACCAAATATTTGTCTAAATATCACAAGAAAAATACAAAACGAAATACGAAATAGAATTAACACATTTAAAATTATTAACAATTAAATATACAGTCTATTGCTATCGCGCCATTAGCTCAGGGAAGTTAGGTATCACCAGGAGGGGCGGAGGCCGAGGCGGCGTCATGACACAGGCACGTGGTGTTGGTAAAGCTGCTCCTGACGCTCGCACAAAGACGTCATCTTTTTGAAGGATTCCGAGGTCTCGCGAAAAAGCAGTTTCGCATCCTCACGAGGACGAGCGTGCGCTGCATCCAGCCTCCCTGGGGATATCACGGGAGGAGACGACGCTGATAAAGGCGACATCGACTCCCGAGCGGCCTGCGCCCCAGCAGGCGCTCCATACGGCCCTCCAGCTTGTAGTATCCCATTACCCATCAGAAAAGGAGTTGGAAAAAACCCCGCCCTATCACCGAACTGAGAAAAAAGTCCTGCTTGTAAAGCGCCCAAGTTTCGACTATAGAACTTCATTGTTTCAGTCACATAACTAGGAAGCTGGGAAGGCTCTTCGTTCCCTCCGTACCTTAAGCTCTCCAACGTAGAGGCTAGTCCTTTGATATCAGCGTACAATTTATTTAGAAGCTCGTTATTGACCTCCGTTGGGGGTCTCTGTTCTCTAGTGTCAGGTGAACTAGTAGACAACAACCTTCGATGCAAATCGATATTCGAGCTATGTCTATCTCGACTTCGCCGCGAAGGGAACGCAGCGTCGCAACCGTTGAAGTCACAAGGATGAAGTAACTTTAAGTGATCGCTTCGGTAGTGCATGCGCAGGGTAAAGTGGTTTTGAAATACCTTTCCGCAAGCAGTACACCGATCTGGATTTTCATCATCTATGGGTATTTCTAGGTCGTTAATATCAGCCCTGTCGTCTGTTTTGTCACTGCTCGCGGATGGTGTGCGCGCTCTTGCTAGTCGCTCCTCCATTGCGTGCAGGTCACTGCCGCTGTCACTTGGCGTATACAAGTCCGACCGTAGTCTCAAACCCTCGCGAACAACGCTGGGTGCACTCGACTCGTCATCAGATTCACTTTCGGCCTTCACACGCGTCACTGATTCGGAATCCGCAACAGCTTCGTCACCGTTCTGAAAGGGCTCCCACTTTTCCGATTTTTGTTTTTTCAACGACAAAGGTTCGTCATCGGCTCGACTAGAACCCGGCGTAGAAAGATTTCTGAATAAATCTCCATGATATTCTTCGTCGGAGACGCTATATTCGTTGGTTTGCGAACACCGAGTTGGATTACCACTTTTTCGCTTACGTTTGTTTGGAACGAGAGAAGAAATCTTATCATCAGATACGGTGGGGTCACTTCGACTTTCAATTTTCGGCTCCTTATCGGCGGGTTTTTCGTCATCCTTTTTCTTATTTACAGTTAAATCTTCCGGTTCATCATCATAGTTCAGCCTTTGTGTCACTGGAGATTCATTGGTTACACATTTATCTTTCTGTTCATCATCTGAAAAGTCATCATCATTTTCACTATAGTTAACAGAGTCTTCGCCTACGGTCACTGAATGTTTTGCGAGATCTAATGCGCCTCTAGTTGGTTCTTCCGGTGGAGGTAGCTTTCTGTACATTTTTTCGATTTCACTGAAGTTGCGGAGGTCATCAAGTGGCACCCGCGGCGGTAAAGGTGTAGGTCCAGGCGGTGCAGACAGGGGCGGAGGAAGTCGCGCTGCTAGCTCCGGAGGTAGTAAGGCAGGTGGCGGGAGCGGCAACCGTGCGAGCGCTGGCAGTAGCGGGAAAGGCTGTGCAGACCTGCCATCGTGTGCTGAAATCTTGCGTCTCACGTGCGGTGAATGTAACTTCGGGTTAGGATTAGCACTGTGTCTATTTCTCGAGCGGCGCGAACTAAACATCATCGTACACCCCTCCACTGTACACTTGTGCATCTCTCGCAGGTGCACGGCCGAAAAATGTATTTTTAACGCGCCTTTATCGCAAAAAGTCTTGAGGCAAACGTTGCATTGCACCCTTTTCTTGCCGGTGGCAGGATTCACGAACTGGACACCGAGGCCGAGTGGCCAGGGCGCCGGCGGCGGGTCGCGTCGCTCCGAAGAATATTCGGGTGACCGTCTCTCGTCACTCCTGTCGTCGTCTCGGCCACTGAAGCTGGCGCCTAATTTTCTGAAGTCGAACTGCGGCGCGGGCTGGTTAACACGAGGCATCATGAAATAGTCCAAGCCGGCCGGGAGGCCGGGAACCGCACCGAACTCTTTGCCGTCCATCACGTCACTGTCATAATATGAACGCGTTGCGAAGCGGGTGGCGCGCGTCGCGGCCGCTTTGCGACTGAGGACGTGCGACACAGGTGACCGCGCGGGCGTCGCGACAAGCGGCGGCGGCGGCGGTGGCGGCGGCGGCGGGGCGCGGGTGTAGGGCGGAGGCAGGGTGAGGGCGGGTGGGAGGAGCGAGCGCTGGGCGGAGCGGATCGATGCGCAGTGGGGACACACGACACTCGCGCCAAGCTCACACCGGCCACTGTAAACACAACAACTAAAGCAATACACGTTACGTAACGTTACCATACTTACCTACTTACTATTCCTCTACTGTTAATCCTAAACTCTAAGTTAACAAATGTTATACTTGTACTATCCGAGGTGCTTTAACAATCGTTTAACAATAACTTGCGTGCTTGTTTTGGGAATAGTAGTAGTAGTAAGTACTTCAATCTACCTTCCTCCGTAACCAAATCATTCTAAAGTTTGTTCCACTTTACAAAACTTGTAGATTTCAGTGCAAATTCTCGCTTACAGCTTAAAGTTATTCAATTTTTACTTTGAAAATGTAAATTCTTAATAAAAAATTAAAAACGTAACTATTATGTACGTACCTACTAAGATCGTACCTTTACCAAAATGAAAAAAATATTCGTTTTTTTTTTTCTTTTGAAAACTAGTAGTTAAGTGCTTAAAAATAAAAACATAACAATAAATAATTGAATATACTATCGTTACACATCTATAATGACTATAAAAAGTATTAACAAAACAATAAATGGACGGCACTAAGTACATTTCATAAAAAACAAATGATTCAAGAAAACTCATATGTTTTTCTTATTAACCGACTTCAACAACGAGATGGTTCACAATTTCGGTTGGTATTTTTTTAATTAACTTATTACATAATTATAAATAGCTTAAGGAATCAAACACATTTAATATTAGGGTGTAAATACTTACTTTGCAATTTCAAATTCTAATTAGCTAATTAGCTGTCAAAATTAAAATTAACGGGATTATCAATAGCTCCTTAAATATAGTAGACCCTCTTATTAAAAATTGGAAACACTTAAATGAAAGTGTAATAATTCATTAAAAATAATTCGAATGAGAATTCATAACGCAAGAATTGTTGCAATATTCCCAAAACTTACAACTAACAGCAGTTTCTCGTTTTCATTATTTATAGAGCAAGAACTTTTTCGATAAGTAAATATATTCTAACTCCCTTTGATAATAAGCTTGGATTATGTTTTGTCTGTGTTTATTGAATGGCAAATTGCATTTTATTTATGGAAACAAAACACGGCGTAGCTAATTTTTTTTTATTAAAAAAGGGGTTAGAGATTATGCCTCAATGTATGATAAGTACCTACTAGTACCATAAATACTTATATAACGGCAAATTTGAAGGTAATTTTTTAATTGATTTATCCGGAACTGAAAAATAATTAGTATCTGAATAACATTAAGAATTTTAATTATTTAGTTGCAATTACCAAATATTGATTTAGAACTAATTTTCAATAAGATTATTTTGCATTATTAACTAGGTATTATATACTTCTCGACGCGTAGAGTTCGCTCTACATCATACTACTAACGCCATCTGTGCGCGCGTTAATGAACTATCCGTTTATACTTGGCGGAATTACGAATGGATTTGTTTCGATCGCACATATGTAACTTAGAAGGTTACACGCTAGTAAATATATTTGAACAGTTAATTATAAAGCGCATAATTATTAAATATGGCACTATTTCCTTGTTTAACTAATAATAATAAATGTTGATTTGTGCTCATCTTTTAAATAAATTTTGATTACACTATCTCTACATTTCATGTTTGGTTAAAAATATTGTTTACTTTGTTTACTTTGAACTATGCCCTAAACTACGCCGATAAGTTTGTCCGCATCGAATTTAGATTTTAATAAATTCAATACACTTTTGCTGGGTACGATGTCCAATGGTCTACCTGTGGACTCATACGACCATAACAATAAATATCTATTACTGTACATACTTAGGTCCTTTAATTAAATAAAAAAAAGTTTCAACGAGTTAGATGCACTGATTTTATTTATTTATTGACGTGACGTAACCTAACAAACATATAAATGTCCTTCAATTATTTTTTGGTGACCATTTATGTCTACAAGCAATTAAAAAAATATCCCTAATAATTTTACTGTATGTCATATAACCTGAATAAAAGATATTGCTCTCATTGTACCAAATATCCAAACTTATTTACTCTATAATACAAAAATAGGATCAACCTTTTGATTTAGTAAACTCCAAAAAAGTTACCTTTAACATGAGGTAATAAGGAAACAATATTTTCTTAAATCCCTTTAATTAAATTTAAATATTTTAAAACCTATTCAAATATAGGTTAAGGCCGCGTTTTTTCATCTTAGTTTTTTTTAAGTTAAGATTGACTATAGAAACAATAACCATTTGCCAAAATTTGACACATTTACTATATATTAGGCGTGAAATTAAATATAGCTTAATTAAATTTTGCATGAAACAACGCGACCTAAGCCGTCAGACCATGTTAACTGCATTAACCAACTAAAAAAATATTGTGAGCTCACCAATAATATCGGAACTTCATACAAATCGATGAACATCAAACGTTTTACAACATCAAAGAGCTTTTATGACAGTTCTTTCACGTCCACTCGTGATAGAGTAATTTATTAGAATTATTTTAGTGTTACAATTTTGAATAACAAGTCATAGACTAGATATTACGAAACAGATTGACAGCGCTGATTTTCTAAATTTAAATAACTGTATTCTCAGAGAACATACCTAAGTTGTGTTGTGTTCTTGTATTAGAAAAAAGCATTATTTTTTATTATCTTTATTTATACTACATCCATATAAGTCCAACAAGTCCATGATGAATTTACTATGATTTTACATTCACAAAGTATGATAGAATACCTATCCAAAGCTTAGAATATTTCACGAATTGTTTTCTTTTTCTGCATCGGAAAGCCTTTAAAACGATTCCAACTTCATGTTATGACAGACTGTATGAGTAATGTGTCATGCCATGATTCCTAAGTTATCATTCCATATATTCCCAAGATACTTTGTACACTGTACTTTTGATTTAAATGCCTCATGTCACTAAAGTTTGGTTTGGCTAGTGTTATATCTTTCATCCTGATGCTCAGTGTAATACTTTTTGTTAGCTAGAAAAATAATGCCAGTTGTGATACCAACATTAACACTTCTCCCGCATTCGACGATTTTTTCCATAAACTATCACCATGGAACATAAAAAGTTTGGTATCTTTTGTTTTCGTAAAAAAGTAGGCACATCACATCGAACTATTACTTTGATCAATCGAGCGTTCTTTCTTGGGTGAATTTAAGTAAATATTTCGCGTCTGTGATACATCTTCGTAATTTACTCTTTGGCGTTTCAACGGGACCGGTATTAGGGTAGTCGAAATTTCGGTACGATTTATTTCTTACCATGTGAGATGGGTCGTTTTTGCAATTAGTATATTTTCTTTTACGTTGTAGTGAATACTGTTTTATTTATTAAAAGGTGACATGCTTTTTGCTGGACTGACTGAGTTCTCTGAGGTACCACTGGACTTTTGGCGTTGTTTGGTCTGAGGTTTCAGAGAAAAAAGATCATTTGATGTAAATATTCAAATGTAGAATATTTACTATATCACTCATCCAATGACTGGTCATCGTGAAAATAGCTTAAGTTCGAGTACTGCTAACAAAGTTCACTTAATCAAATATTTTATCTGATAGATTATCATGATTATTTCAAAACTCAAAGAAACTTAAAAATTAAATGGATGGACAAGTTTTATACGATTGCATTTTGGCGTAGAGCTTTTTTTACCAAAGTGTCAGCCCTATATCCGTTATTTCGGACGTGTTTTTCTATCTGTTAGTCGTCGACTCGCACCCAATAAGCTGCCGATTATTCCTGATCTCATGGAAACAGTTACAATTGCCGGACTATCGCCTCTAAGGCACGGTAAACATAGCTTTGACGTATGCCTCAAGTCAGAAGAGCAGACGTTTTAGATAAGATTTTCACAATTATCAGTTTCAAGTAGGTATAAGAGTTAGTTTAAGGGAAATTACGATCGTATTGGAGAGGCAAACTACACCTCACAGAAGAACACTGAGTAATAGCACAAACTTTGGATGGTGTTGTGTTTCTACTAAATAAATAAATATCAATAAATATTTCTAATACACCAATTAGCCTTAGTAAGCAGGCTTGTGTTATGGGATACTAGGGTAACGGATAGAATACATATCCTGATACATATATAAGGATATTTATATAGAAATACATATTAAATATCCATGACTGGAGTACAAATAATCGTATTTATCACACAAACATCTGTCTCCACTGGGATTCGGACTTCCACTCCACTCCACTCGGCCAGAGAGGTCATCTATTGGCGAGTAAGGTCCAGATCTCCACAGGTATGAGGATGGGTTTAGAGAAGGCAACGCGTGAATCATAAGTGATACCAAATAATATCGCAGGCATAGGTAGGTTAATGGCCGTTTGACATCAGGCAAATCATACGCTTGTTTACCACCACCCTTTTGAAATAAAAAAGTTTCCTGATTGCTGGGAAACAATCTTCCCTATGACAGTAATGGAGAAACAAGAACAGTACCCTTAGCACAAACCTATATCGAATTCGAATAGTTTGCAAATCCAAAATGGCATTTCATATTTTGTATGGAAACTTGAACAGCAGCGCCCCAAAGGACGTAACGAGAACTAAAATTCAATACACATTTGACAATGCCATTTCGGACTATTAGGATTCGATATTGGTTCGTGCTAAGGGTACGGATAATATTGGATACGCTACGCTTACGAATTCTTTTACTGCCATGCCCTGTCACTGGTTAGAAAAGTGATAAAAGTTAAAATAGAAGAAATCAAAACTAAAAAACAATCCCTGTCTCGGCCCTCGGAAAGGTCTAATGGAATTCTGTATTGATCTTTCACTCAAACTATGGACACTAGTTTGAGTTGGAGACCAATGTCGAATTATAGAGAGACTAATGCCCTGTATAATTAATACAGGGCATCGAAAAAACTAGAAGCAAGTGCAGTTCCCTGTTTTGTGTTACACCCAATCCTTTTATTACTTAGTTAATATGCACTACGTTTTATGAAATAGATGCAAACATCAAAAACCGTTGCTTCTTATAAATTGAACCAATCATATCAGTCACCGTCGAGTAGCGAGTTTCGCGGCCTCATAATAAACACGCTCTCTTTTTGTCCTAAGTGATGTGGCTCTGGTCAACGTTGATTTTTATTCTGGCTAAAGGAGATAACACATTGGGTCATTTACTTTAAAAAATATATCTAGTTGGTTAAATCTAAAAAAAATATGGGAAGAATTCCACGCGGACCAGGCAGCAGACCTTCGCTATCCTTTTTTCTAGTAAAATTTTCTTTAGATTTTAACATCTAGCAGGTAAATGCTTAAACATAAAAAAAAATAAGTATCTTGTTATAGAAACTAAATATTACTTCCCGAAATATTATCACACCGTATTATAACAAGACATAATGGACCGCGAAAAGAAATGAAAAGAAAGCAAAGATGCGAATGAGGTAAGAAAATACAAAACAATCTGTCCATAATCATTGAACAGAGTCCAAACTTACAAAATATCAACTGAGAAAATATGTATGAGTATGTGTGTAACCTATTAATGTCGCCACTGTTGGGGCATTCCCCTATTCCATCATAGGCCTTCCCTATGGATGGAATAGGGAGATTGGGCCATGACCCACCACTCGGACCCAGTGCGAATAGGCGGGTGCTAACGACTCCAGATGCAGCCGGGACCAACGGCTTAACGTGCCTTCCGAAGCACGGAGGAACTCGAGATAGAAGATTTATGGTCACCCATCCAATGACCGACCACTGCGAAAGTTGCTTAACTTTAACGATCGCAGCCAAACGCGCTAACCACCCGCGCCATCGAGCTCCTCAAGCAGCTATTAGTAAAACACAATAAAACAAGACAATTGAAATAAAAATATATAAACATATACTCGTAACGTGATAGGTATTTAAAATTATTTCTGATAAGCAGAATGCTCAACTGCACTTGGTTGTTGCTCCTTTTCGGGTGCACGAAAGACATAACTAGAATTCGGGCACCCGAAGTAATAATTACACTGGAAGACGGTATCGGGTAACCAAAACGAAAACTACTGGAATATAGTCTGGAATGTACTCGACTCCGCTCACTTACCCGAACTTAGTAAACTTAATCGTTTACCCGAATTCCATTGGCAATAGTATTTGCCATAACTCTGTTTTAAAAAAAGCAATTTGCATTGCTCATGTATTAACTTTAAAACGACTTTATAAATTTCATCAATGTTATTTGTTGAAATTCTTCCAATATTTCGTCAAAGATACAAGGGAAAAAGGAAAAATTGCATTAAAAATCAGTTTCACTTAACTTACAACTATGTACCCGATAGGTTACATAAACCAGAAAACTGATAGCTGCGCCGGATCAGGATTCTTATTTTATTTATATCTTTATCAAGTCTAAAATGAAAATATTTTTATAGCAGAAATCTGCTGGAACTTCAGAATAGTCGCCCAGGTTAGTTTGACGCAAGCACGTGTATTCCCGAAGTGGATTATATATTATCTACGACAGTAGGCAGGCCTTCTTTACACCCGACCGACATATTTATTTTGAAGAGCGGCCACTCTTGTTTGGATTAAAAATATTTTTGGCCGCACTTGCACACGACACTCCGCGATCGTACAACCGACGGCACGTACAATGAAGCATTTCCTTGGGTACCAACTTTTGCTAGGTATATTCAGTTCACACATGCTCGATTTTACTATCTTTGTTTTAGGAACAAACGGAAGGCACGGGTCAAAATTATTAATGGAAATTTTAGGAATCTGATTGAAAAACCATCATAAGTACAGATCTATTTCCTTTGACTTATTTCTTATAATTAAATCATACTTACTTGAAAAATGTTTATTT